TAGCTTAGCTCAGTTTTTCCAGTAATATATGTGTATTAGCACACATCAGTATACAAGATAAATTCTGGAACTGCTGCAAAATGGTAAGTTGTTTCATTATAACAAAACTGGAAATTCAAAATATTATGTTCTATTTTTTCTGTCAAACTGCTCACAATTTAACACAAACTGTAAAGCTAGTCCCTCTCCCAATCCCTAATATTAACCTCAGACTTCTCAGTTGAGTATATGAAAAAATGATAGCATGTATTTTTTTTTTTTCTTCAATGCCAACAAGGAAGCAAAAATGGATGACTAAAATACTTTTTTTTTTCTGTGTGAAGTCTCCAAAGTTTAATCTATTGCCTTCAAGTTCATATGCATCCTATATAACTCAAGGCGCATGAAGTCAGGACAGTAGTTCCCTTACCCCTCCTTTCTAGCCAATGGAAAAATAAGTTAGCAATGCAATGCTGAAGGGCTTCTCTCCCAGTGTAAAGCTTAAAGTTAAGTGGGGCCATTCTGACGTACCAGGACTCTCCTGCAACAGCTGCAGCTCTATTCAACTCAAGAGTTGTTTGGGCTTTTGCAAACAGTACTAGCTACACTAAGAAATGTTGGTAAGAGGACCAACTAAAATACTTAGCATCAGACATTAATTTACATTGGATCTCTCAGCAAGACATCTCTCTCAACTGTTATTCTTCTCTAGGAGAAGGGATATATGTTTAGAGACAATTTTCTAAGCAACTAGTCAAGCCATTGCACGATCAGCAAGGCTCACGTAGACTGGTCTCCTACCGAGTCCTCCACCTCCCCCACAACCGCAGCTGCTTCCCACATGCCCACACTCTCTCCTAAGCTTCCAAGAACACTTCCCCCTCCCTTCTCCTCTCACTTCTGTCCCCAAACTACTGATTTGGGGTTGGTTGGTTTGGAGCTGCATGCATCCTGATCTACCACTTAGCTGTGGTAACAGCTAAGCCTTTTTTCAGTCTAAGCACAAATCTGGCTATCTCTCAGAGGAGCTACTGGCAGCATGAGGTTTACCAGTTTTAACATATTTTGGTAAGGAAGCAGCTTCAAAGAATTTTTAGATATACCAAAATACCACAGTCTAGCTTAGTAATGAAATGAAACTTCCCTTTAGAGAAGCTGCCAGCTGTAGTTAAGACACATTACAAAAAGCCTTAATCCTAAACCTTTTTTAATTAGGTATTGACCTTTACCTAGTGACCAAGACTGGCATTAGTCTTCCCAGAGTCAGAGATATTTAGCTGCACAGAAATAAGGTCAGGGCGCTATTTTAAGTTAAGCAACGCCACTCTCCCAGGCCCTTATTTAGATGTACTTCTCTACAAAAAAAATGTTGTGTCTTCACTTACTTTGACATGAGAGTAACAGCCAAAGAAAAATGTTACTTTCTTGCAAACAACTCAACAGTATTTTTTCCTGTGTCTTACTCTTTGAGTGTTATACGGTATCTCCCATCTCGATGATAAAAAAAACACCCACAAAACCCCAACAAACACAAAATGGTACCTAGTTTTAACAGCCAGTATGCAAGTAGCACCTAAGTACATAGCATACAGAAGTCAATTCAAGCATAAACAATTCATGGGCTGTTTTTATTTCAGTAAAACTAAAGCTTACAGATTCTTAACTCATAGCCATTCAGTAAGACACTCATAAAAAGTTGTATTAACAAAAACTGACAGGCTTCCAGGCCTCTAAAATATTTCAAACATAAGATACAATAAAAGGTATCAAATGTTTACATTACAGTCTTGCTGCCTTACACACTACCATAAAAGTGAACAAACATTCAGTAACTTCAAGCGTACCATTAAGAAGACACCAGTAAGTGCTCCAGTTTTCTGTACCATACAACTTTATTTCAAATTCACATCTTTCTAGGCAATGTATCCAAAATATTTGACCCAAGAGTACCTTTAGACTGTAAATATTCTGAAACAGGGCATCAAGCCTTTTCTATCTCCAAAACCCCTTTAAGTTTTAGCTCATGTTATAAAAAGTAACCATGTGGAATGTGACAAGTCATAATGTGAAATCAAAGTGCTTTAGTCCCATAGCGCAGACAGACACTAGTGGTTATCTAGCCATTCATCAGTATATCTCAAACACCAAAAGAGTTGTTTGCTCTGTTGCACCTCACCTTGAAAAGACCTTTGGACCATTATGGTGAAATTTCATTAATTGACAGCTAAACAGTATCAGTGGACCCACAGTTTCACTTTGATACTTCAAAAAATGAGTTATAAATGAGGCATCTTTTTACCATTTTTCAAGTTCCCTTAGTAATTACCAAAGTTCTATTGTATTATGCAAGATAAAGCTATGTTCCAGTTAGTCTTTTAAAATCCAAAGTGTGCTATATTCCAAATTCCAAAGCATCAAAACCCTCAAATTATTTCCCAAGACCCCAACAGCTATCTAAGACAGTGTTTTTGTGCAATTCTTTGCTATTTGTGTGTGAAGAGATAAACACTTCACCCAACAGCTCATATGAAAGAGCTATAAACTCTCAAAGCAGAAAGTTACTTTAATAAGGTTTGGACATAGGTAGTTGCATGGAATACGTGCTCAATTCAGAAGTGGCCACGCTGAAGAGGGCTCACATTGCAAGCGTTCAGTCAGAAAACTTCCTTTCTAAGGAAGCCTAAAAAGCTCTCTATCTTCCAGAGTGAAGGAAGTTTAAGACTTAAGCATTTAATTCTCTTCTCTGTTGCAAAAGAATTAGCTCTACAGAGTAATTTTAATGATTATTTCTCCCATTCCTTTCAGATACCCCATCGTTGTACAAGTTTACAGCTTAAACGGGAAGGGCTGAAAGAAAATTTCTGCTCCCGTCCCACAGACGTAAAGACAACATGCTTTGCAAGACTGATTTTACCCATCACATTTGTGGCAACCAACCCAAAATGAAGGCACATGAAAGCTATAATCCTATAACTTATAAATTAAAAACTAAAGCTGAACCTCTGTATAATTTCTAGTCTTTTTGCACAAAAGAAATAACCAGCACCTATGCAGAGATTCAGGTTTTTTTCATGTAACTTTTCCCAGAAATAGTTAAGTGTCGCTTGCACACCTATGAAAATACTGTCATTTATTAGGTTTTGACACAAAGTGCAGAAATTGGTAACTTATCTGCAAGGGAAGTCTGAAACCGATGAATTGCTATCACTCCCTTCCCCTGTCACTACAAGAAACGTAAGCCACCAGCAACAGCTACAGACAGCTGTTACCTTGAAAGTGTTCAACTCCCAGCAGCAGTTTCCCCGTGAGGTGTCCTAGAGCCTGTGGTATGTATTTAATCAGTGTCTCAAATTTGGATTTTAACATGTCAAAGCCTATCTGCTTTTGGTTAGTTACTGGCCAGACACGCGCACACGCTCTGAGGAAGCCAACTTGAAACATGCTTTGACAAATGCTGCATCGAAACTGGTCGTACCTTAACACCTAAGCACAGATGAGCTGCTACCCTGAGCAGCATTCAGGATCCAGGGTGAGCTCAATACCTCGTTCTTAAGGAAAGCCAAATCTGGATACAAATCTACCTCCTAGATTGCACTGGAATTGCTACCTTTAAAGCAGAGAAACAAGATTTAAGGTTTCTGAAAGCTTTAGCAGATGGATAGGCTGGTCAATCAGATTAAGACTTACTAGGTTGTTAAACAACAGTTCAAAGCCTTGGTTATCACTTCTCTAGAAATACAGGTTTAAAAGAATTCAAACACCATTGCCATCACTTAACCAGAATATGACCTTATACTGCTTTCACTTAGGATGATAAACAGGGATAGAGTTTCAGAGCTCTACTTAATCACCTTGTGTGTGAATTCACACACTCTCCTTTCCCCCCCCTTTTAATTTTTTTCTCTGTTTCTGCACAAAGTCAGTTGAAGGGATTGGCACACAAGTTACTAGTGAACACAGACCTGTAGCTATTACATTACAGGACCATATTAGAGTTTCATGAAGATCTCATGCAACGGTGTCTGTGCTCTTTTCTAAAAGAGAACGACTTTCACAGGTAGCACATACAACACAATTTTCTGATTTTAAATGCAGTGAGTTACACAAACAATTACTAACAAGAATTAACCAGACTTAATAACTGGAACTGCGCTATGTCTGGCACTTGAGAATTCACAGTGATTAAAATAAAATTGCTTTGCCTAAGACAAAACAGAAGATACCAAATATATAAAAAGACTTTTTGCTTCCATTGTCTTGTATTAGTATTCCAACAGCGATAAGCAAGCTCAGTAGTACCTCAGACAGCAGAGACTTCTGCACATGGTTAACTTTATTCATTGTTTGCAGTGCAATGGATTTTTTTTTTTTAAATATATTCACTATGTCAAATCAGGCAATTTTCAATGCATAAAGTCAACACAGGCTTAAGCCTTTGCTGAATTGAAGCTTGGATTCTGAAAGGAAACTGTTATCTACCATCTCATTTTGGGTACCCAACTCCACACTGTGCCAGGTGGTATTGCTGTTAAAGAGAAACTTAAAGTATACTTGCATATTACTGAGGTGTTCTTCTGACATAGCAAGTTGTTTGGAAGTAGTTTATAGTACCAGTTGATTATAAGAGCAGAGCATTTGCACTTTTCTTTCCCCCACTCAATTTGCTAATCCGAGTAGATTCACTCACACAGGTTTCTGATCTGGAAGCCTGCCTTTAGAGGGAAAAGAGCACAGCTTTTAAACACCCCAGCGTTTCTCAATGAACCCGCTGCCTCTCATTTCAGCACTGAGCGCCCAGCCAAAGCAGCTGCCCTCAGGAGTTGTAAGCCACAAGAGCTCTGTTGACCCACTGGGCTCGCTGACCCCACCGAACTGAGAGTTAAAGCAAGATACTCAGGACCTGTCTGCCCCGAGTCCATGAGTGTAGATGAGCACCCACTTGTACCTGCCTCACCTTCCGCACTACACCCTAGGGCACTTTGGTCCGTGCGCCCACCTCCCAGACCTCCTGCTCCCCAGCCTTATCCAAAGACATTGGACTTTGGCCTGAGTCTGAATGATGCTTTCAGGGATTTCTCCTCGTGCTCTTCCTCCTCGGTGTCACCACGAAAGGAGGGTGTGTTGTGGATGATCTGAGTCCTGAAGCGGATCTTGTTAAGCCGAGGCTTCATCCGCCCGCTGCCAGAGGTCTTCCTGGTCATCTCCTTGCCCTTGCCTGGCACTGCTGCCCCTTCGGTGCCCTCAGCTTCCTCTGCAGTGCTGTGATGGTGGTGGTGGTGATGGGAGAGCCGGTAGTTCATGAGATTGGAGGGCAACACTTTAGAGAGTCTCCAGCGCCCACTCCCATTGCTGGCAGCTCCTTCCTCCTCCTCCTCCTCGGCCCCCACGAGGTTCCGCATGTCCCCCGAGGCGCCCTGGTGCAGGTACTGTGCGGCTTTGCGCCCGCTATAGTCACGGATGTCCACGTCGGCGTCGTAGGCTCCCACCAGCAGCTTCACCAC